GTGTCATCTCACAATTGCGCCATTGACAATTGCGCCCATTGTATAGAAGAGGAAATGGAGGCTCAGAGAGCTAACTTCACTTACTAAAGGTCTAAAGGTCACACATTGTGTACGTGGCCGTCGAACTGGTCCTACCCCTCCAATGTATTCAGTTCTGGTTAGTGAGTGCCTGCGCGTGAGCGTCTTGGTTCCAGGCACTGGAGGTAGGAAGGGAAAGGAGGGTCTAACACTGGAGGGGGGGAGGCCCCACATTTGGGAAAGAGGGGCTGACATTCCAGGAGGAGGGGCTGTGGGGCTGCCAGTCCGGGGAGAGGGGGCAACATTTCCGTGGGCGGGGCTGACATTCCAGAAGTGGGCGTGGCTTTCCAGGGGGAGGGGCTGCCACTCTGGGGGGTGGGGCTGCCACTGGGGCGGGGCGGGGCGGGGCGGGGCGGGGGTCTAAGCGGGAGGGGCTGCCCCTCTGTGGGGGGAGGGGCTGCCACTGGGGCGGGGCGGGGCGGGGCGGGGGTCTAAGCGGGAGGGGCTGCCTCTCTGTGGGGGGAGGGGCTGCCACTGGGGCGGGGCGGGGCGGGGCGGGGGTCTAAGCGGGAGGGGCTGCCACTCGGGGGGGGGGAGGGGTGCCACTGGGGCGGGGCGGGGACCTGACATTAAGCGGGAGGGGCTGACATTCCTCATTCTGCAGACCCTACAGCTCCCACCTCCGTGCCATACTGTGTGCCTGCAAGTATCCGCCGTGTACACGGCACATACACACCCCTACCACCCCTAGGATCCGCGGCGCCTGCCAGGAACGCAGCCTCTGCCCTCCGGAGTTCGCAGCCTGCAGGAGACACGCAGGCTCCCACGGTCCCACGCAGCGATACTTCGCTCCCGGGCGGGGGGGAGGCAACCGCGCTGTTAATCACTACCTCCGTTCCTGTCAACAAGGGGAGCGGGGAGGCGGAGCCCCATTCTGCCGGTTTGATGTGTTCCCAGCTGTGGGAGACAGACAGACTGTCATCAAAGTCGGAAAATAGCTGTCGGGGAAACTCCTCATCCCCTGACACCTGACACCTGACACCTTCCCTCCGCATCCGAAACCCTCCTGCCCCGCTGCAGGCTCGGGGTTCTGTTCCCGCTGTCTGAGCACAGACTGCTCTCTGAGCCTCGGCCCGACGGGGGTAGGACGTACCTGGCCCAGGTCCTGGAGGTCCGAGTCTGGGTGGCCGGGTCGGAGTCCATCCCAGGAGCGGGACTTCGTTTTGGTGGGCCTCCTGGTTTCCATTCTTGTTCTGGCGCAATGAAATGAAGAGAGGGCCATGTGACAGTCTTATGCCCTGGTCTGTGTCCCCCGCTCCTGGGACATGTCCCACCCCCTCAGGTTCACGCTGACCTATCTGAGGACGGGGTATGAGGTGTAAACGATGTCCTGTGTGTCTCCCGTGGTGAGTGATGCTGGGGACCCCGGAGGAGTCAGACCCAGAGGCCTCAGGCTGGCCGCAGACATGGCCATGGAGAGCCAGCAGCCAAGGTGGTCTTGGCTGTGACGGAGCAGGTGCCAGGTGTGCGGGGCCTGGAGCTCAAAGAGGAAGCTGTGGGAGGCAGAGTTGGGAGGTTTGATGGGTCTCAGTGAAAGGCCAGGCTGTGGGCTGGGACTTTGTCCAGGAGTACTGGGTAGCCATGGGAGGTGTGTGAGCAGGGGAGGGAGCAGGGTCAATGACAGGTGTAGAAAGATCCCTCTGGAGCCCTGTGAGGAGGTAAAGAAGCCAGGAGAAGGCTGGGCTGGGGGTCTAGCTGCAGAGGAGCCCTGAGCGGGAACCAGGTGGTGGATGGAGAAGAGAGTTGGAGGAGGGGCAGGCGGGGCCAGAAGGGGCTGGAGGGAGTGAAGGGGAAGAGAAGCTGGGGATGAGTGGTCTCTAATCCAGAACCCCTCTCCTCCTCCCTTGCCTTGCCACCCTCCCGGGCTTGAGCACCTAGAGGCCCACAGGAGCCACAGAATGAGGATGGCAGAGCCCAGCACCCACTTCCCCTCAGGACTCCCATTCCTTCCTCTTTCCAGCATCCAGCCCCATCCCCGCCACCGCAACCTGGCCACTCCCTCCTGGCCTCTCCTGGGCCATCCTGGGCCCAGACCCTCCTCTCTGTGGCCTGTCTCCAATGTCCGACACCCCTGTCATTCCAGAGGCCAACTCAGCAATCGAGTGGCTGTGTGACCTTCAGAGAGCCTCCATTTACTGTTCTATAAAATGGGCATATTAGTTCTCCATGGCCGCAGTAACAAATTCCCACCAACTTAGCGACTTAAAACAACACAAACGTATCTCATGATTGTAGGGCCAGAGGTCCTAACTGGGTCATGGGCTCCAGAGAATCCATTTTCTTTCCTTTTCTGGGTTCTGGGGGCTGCCCCCACCTCATGGCTCACTACCCCTCCCCCTGCCTTCAAAGCCAGCGGGCAGTGTCTTCACCTCTCTCTGCTTCCCTCCTCCACTGACCAGGACCCCAGTCACTACACTTGGGACCACCTGGACAGTCCAGAGTCCTCTCCCTAGTTTAGGGTCACCTGGGTAATTCCTGTTTGCCAAGTAGTGTAACATACAGGCTCTGAGGATTAGGATGTGGACATCTTTGGGGCTGTTACTCTGCCTACCAAGATGGGCTTGGGGATGCTTACTTGTACCCACTTTATTCAGCAGTATTTACTGAGCACCTGCTATGTGCCAGGCACCACCTTGGGATGAAAATCCTTACCCTTATGAAATGTCTACGGTACCGCGCTGGGAGGAGGGGCGCAGACAGTCAATTAAACACAACAGAAATGTAAAACAATACATGTAACCCTGGCCAGTGTGGCTCAGTTGGTTGAGCATCATCCCAGTGCACTGAAAGGTCACCAGTTTGATTCCCAGTTAGGGCACATGCCAGGGGTTCGGGCTCCATCCCCAGTAGGGGGTACAAGGGTGGGAGCTGATGGATGTTTCTCTCTCTCTCTCTCTCTCTCTCTCTCTCTCTCTCTCTCTCCCTCTCCCAACCAGGGCCGGGGATAGAACCAAAACTCTTTGGTGCACAGGCCGATGTTCTGGGCATTGTGCCACACCAGTCAGGGCTACTATAGGATTCTTGATGGACCCTCGTTCTCCAGTGGAGAAAACTGGGGCTCAGGAATGCATGAGCGATTGGGTCATACAAGGAGGCTGCCACAAGGTGAGGCTCACTCAGCCTGCCTTGGGCCCTGCGCCCCCTGCGCCCTGCAGCCCCAGCCAGCTCTTTCTTTGGAGAAAGTCTGAGGTTTTGCTTCTTTCTCGCTGTTGGCTTTAGCCCCTCCTTCCTTCTGGTTCTTCTCCAAACCACCAGCTCCCTATGCAAATATGTCCCGAGGCCTCCTGTGGGTTGGTTGTTCAAGGATGATTTGTTCATTCATTCATTCATTCATTCATTCATTCATTCATTCATTATTTGTTTGGGCAAGGTAATAAGACTTCAGATACTGGAGTCGGTTGCCCTGGATTCCTGTCTCAGCTGTTTCATTTACTGGATGGCCTCGTTTCTTTTCTTTCTTTCTTTCTTTTTTTTTTTTTTTGGTACGTGCCCCTAGCGGGAACTGAACCCGGGACTCTGTGGTCTGCAGGCTGACGCTCCAACCGCCAAGCCAAACCGGCCAGGGCTATGACCTCGTTTCTTAACTTTGCTCTGCACCCCGGTTTTCCCTCTTGATAAAATGAGGACGACAATAGCATCGTTGTTTCAGTGCTCTTGAAAGAATAAATTAAAATGGTGCACGTGAGGGCCATAGCACACTGCCCTGTACACAGCTAAAACTTAGTTCCTGCAGTTGGTGTAGCTGAACCCACGCTCAGGGACCCTACATACAAGAGAGGTGATACCTGATCCAGCCTGGGGCAGGTGGCACTCAATAGGGTTTTAGAGGATGAGTAGGAGTTTGCTGGCTGAAACAATGAGGTACAGCAAAGTGCTATAGGATGAGGAGACAGCCAGAACAGAGTCTGGGTGTGTAATGAATGTAGGAAACCATGTGCTTGTTTTAGGAACTCCAGAGTAGAAGGAAGGGAAGTGGTTAGCTATGAGGCTGGTGGTGTGGGCGGGGCCACAACAGATGAGGTTGCAAATGCCAGGCTGAGGGGCTCAGACCTCGACCTGGAGCGATGGGAAGAGAGCACCCAGGTGTACAAAGGAATCCTTCAGGTCACAGGTGGGGAAACTGAGGCTCACGCAAAGACCCTGCGTGGTGGCCCCTCTGATTTCCAGCAGGGTCCCGGCTCCCACTTCCCCTTCTTCCTACCTGTGAGCTGCCCCCTCCTTCCCACCCCAGGTCCACAAGGGAACACCCAGCTGCCAGCTCCTGCTCAGACACCCTGGCAGACACCTGCCCCCCAACTTCTGGTGAGCTCAGGACAACAAAGGAACAGCGTGGGTAAACGGAGGCCCACAGACAAAGCAGGACCTCTGTGTGGATCCCCTGAGTTAACATCCAGGCCTCTGAGGTCACACAGATGTGAGTTCAAATCCAGCTGGGTCTCTGCTTTGTCCGTTTTGATTTTGAGCACGTGAATCTCCCTCCCAAGCCTGTTTCCCTACCTGAGAGGTGGAGCTGGACTTGGCACAGCCAGGCTCCTGCAGTCCTTGAGGGTATAGGTCTCCTGAGGGAACCGAGAAGGACAAGTTCAAGGACAGATGGGGCTGCAGAGGAGGGGAGGGCCGGACCACCCAGGGTTCCACTCGCGGTGGACGGGCTGGGACTTCGTCCAGGAGTACTGGGGAGCCATGGGAGGTCTGTGAGCAGGGGAAAGGCAGCTCTTGAGTTATGCAGCAGCCAGGCTGGAGGTGGAGACTGGAAGTAGGGAGGCTGGGGTGGAGGCTGAGCTGGGCCAGGGCAAGGGGGGCAGAGAGACTCAGAGGAAGACAGTAGTGAGGGGAAGACAGGGAGAGGAGAGCACCTCGGGTTTGGTGGACAGGGAGGCTGTCCCTGAGATGGGGAACCTGGGGAAGTTTGGGGAGGACGCATGTGGAACATGCTAACGTGGAGGCCTGTGGGTCCCCACAGCACCAACCAGCCCATGGAGGACCCTCCAGAGACCCCACAACCGGCACCCCTTGGAGTCCTGTGCCCACCGGAGGCTGCTCTCTTCCTCCTCTACTCCCTGGCCACCCTGGCCTCCTGCCTGCTGGAGGCGGCCAGCCACGGCCTGGTGATCCAAGCAGCGGGGCCCTGCCTGCCTCCCCCACTGTCAGCTGCCTGGTTCGGGCACCAGGCTGTGACCGATGTCGCCTTCATGGTCCTCCTGCCTTTGATCCTCACCTGGACATGTTCCGGCTGGCCCTGGGGTGGTGCCTTCTGCCACCTGGACCCCGGCCTCGACTTTCTGGCCTTCTACGCCAGTGGCCGCCTGCTGACCCGGGCGGCCGCCGACTGCTGCGCCGGGCTGCTCTGGCCGGCCTGGGCGCTGGCCCACCGAGGAGCCCGCCGGGCGGCTTTCTGGGCCGGTGCGTTCTGGCTCTTTCTGCTGGTCGTGCGCGTGTGGGCCCTGCGAGCCCCGTGGGGCTGGAGGAACCGGGCCGAGCCTTATAACAGGACGTCCACCTGGGAGTCGCCCCACTTCTCCTCCAACCTGGCGCTGAATCAGCTGGTGTTTGGCTTTGGGGTGCCTCTGGGGGTCCTGAGTGCCCTTCACAGCCTCCTGAGGGCCAAGCTGTACCTGGCACGGCTCACGGGGAGGCCCCCGCTGCTGGGGGTGCCCTGGGCTTCGGGGTCCATGTTATTTCTCTGCTGGTTCCCCTTCCACCTGCTGCTTCTGGTGAAGCTGGTGGGGACGAGGAAGGCCCCGCTGGACATGGCAGAGGTCTGGGTGCTGCTCAGACCTCTGGGGCTCACCCTGGTGGGGGCCAGCGGCTGCCTCAACCCTCTGCTCTATGCGTGCGGGGACCAGGCCTTCAGGCAGCGGCTGTGGGGGGCCCTCTGGTCTGGTTGGGCAACGCAGATAGAGACCCAACCTTCCTGCCAGGAACTGAGGGAAATTTCTGAGGGGCTGGGACAGTGAGCAGGAGGGAGAGGGGGAGGGAGGGGTCCTGCCATCTGTTCAGTCTCTGGAGAATGTGAGAGATGGTGAGGTGAGCCCTGGCCGATTTGGCTCAGTGGTTAGAGCGTCTGCCTGAGGACCAATGAGTCGTGGGTTTGATTCTGGTCAAGGGCACGTACCTCGGTTATGGTTGGTCCCTGGCCCTGGTCGGGTTGTGCGGGAGGCAACCAGTCCATGTGGCTCTATCACATCGATGTTTCTCTCTGTCTCGCTCCTTCCGGAGCTCCTACTCTATCTGATGATAAATAGAAAAATATCCTCGGGTGAGGAATTAAAAATAAATAAATAAAAATAAAAGAGGGATGGTGAGGTGAATGGGGGGTAGGGGATAGAGACCCACATGGAAAGGGACAGAGACCCAGATATAGGGAGACAGGGACCCAGATGGAAGGAGACAGAGACCCAGAGACAAAGCAGGCGAAGTGGAAGAAGAGATACTGAGGGAGCAACCGGCACGATGCAGACACGATGGGCTCTTGTCGTGTCGTCACAGAGGCCAAGGCAGGAAGAGGAGGCGAGAGACAGGTCAGGCTGCTGGGAGGGACCAGGTGGGAGATGAGACAGAAAAGATATGGAGACACAGACCCAAAGAGACACAGAAACATTGTCTGGCCGGTGTGGCTCAGTGGTTGAGCATCATCCCAGGCACCAAGAGGTCACCGGTTCAATTCCTGGTCAGGGCACATGTCCAGGTTGTGGGCCCGATCCCCAGTGGGGGGCATGCAGGAAGCGGCCAGTCGATGTTCTCTCTCATCGATGTTTCTCTCTCTCTCTCTCCCTCTCCCTTCCTCTCTCTAAAATAAATAAAGAGAAAAAAAGAAAGAGAGAGAGAGAGACAGAAACAAGAAGAGCTCTGGGAACACCCAGAAGCGGAGCTGGCATTGGAGGGAAGGAGCGGCAAATGCGCGGGGAGAGAGGGGCAGGGACAGAGCCCAGTGAGACAGACGTGGGCCTGGACCTGAAGATGGAAATATACGCACAGGGTAGGAATGTGGAACTAGAGTCCCAAGCAATCCCGGGACAGCACAACTCCCGGATGTGGGGCCTTCAGGCCTGAAACAAAGACCCACGCACACCGGGACGCCCTGGTCCCCAAGGTGGACGGGGTAACACGGGCCAGCACTGGGCCTCCAGATCTCCCGGGTCCGCTGGGTCTTAGCTTCCACCTTCTCCTGAAATACGTGCACCTCCTAACCGGCCCTGCCCTGCGAACCATATTGTTTGTCTTCTTTTTTTTTTTGTATCCTCACCCGAGGACATTTTTGCATTTATCTTCAGGTAGAGCAGGAGGGAGAGAGGGAGGAAGAGAGAGAGAGAAACATCCATGTGAGAGAGACACATTGAGTGGCTGCCACCCACATGACCCCAACCGGGGCTGGGGACAAACTGCAACCGAAGTTCGCTGCCCTTAGCGGGAACCGAACCCGGAATTCTCTGGTCCACGGGCCAACGATCTAACTGCTGAGCCCAAACAGCGAGGGCATTGTTTGCCTTCTTTTGTGTTCAGACTCCCCAGTGTTTCCACACTAAGGGTTACTTTTTGTCTGTGGTCCGAGTCCCCTGACGTGTCCATGGAGCGACCTCAGAATTGCACTGGGCTCCAGGGGAGAGTCTCTCTCTGTCTTTGGAAACGCATCTCAGGGACGCCTCTGGACCGTGTCTGTGTGTTAGAATCTCCCAGGGAGCTTTTACAATCCAATCGATGGCCAGGCCCCATCCCCAGGTGTTGTGGTTTTAGCGGGCCAGGGCGGGGCTGGGCTCTGGGAGGTTCAAAAGCTCCCCAGGGCAACCCACGGGCCGCTGGGCTGAGCCCCATGCATCTCCAGTCTGTGTGGCTGCGCAAATGCAATCCCAATAGCTCCCAGGGGCCCGGGAAACCCAGCACTAAGTGGTGGAGAAGCCTGGGGGATGCGGACCAAGTTCTTTGTCAATAAATTGTTTTACAAACACGGACAGCCAAGACTCACACCAGTGGTCCAGCAGGAGTCTGATTCTATTCTGGGTGCCTCCTCCCTCAAGCTCCCAGTTATAGCCACCAAGGATGGGAGGGGAGATAATTGGGGGTGGGAAGGGGAAAGGCAGACAAACTCACACTGATAGGGAGGGATATCCAGGAAGCCATCTGGAAGGGCTGACTCAAAACAGATGGGAGAGGACAGGCCAAGAAGAGGGCACAGCATGTGTAAAGGCCCTGGGGCATGGCATTAAACAAAACAAACACCTCTGAGTTATATGTGGTTAAGGATATGCCATGGAGGGGGCTGGAGGGGGCTTAGGAGGTAGACACATTTTTTAAAATTTATTTTAAAAATATGTTTTTTAGAGGGAGAGATAGAAACATAGATCAGCTGCCTCCTGCAAGCCCCCCACTGGGGATTGAGCCCGCAATCCCCCTGGACATGTGCCCTGACCGGGAATGGAACCGGGACCTCTTGGTGCACGGGATGTCACTCAACCACACTGAGCCACACTGGCTGGGCAGGAGGTGGATGAATGTTTCTTTACAAAAGGAAGACTGGAGGAAGCCAGGTCACACAGCCTTCAATGCCAGGCTGAGGGGCTGTGACTCTTGTCTCAAGGGGACTGGGGAGCCATGGGAGGGCTGTGAGCAGGGAGGGAGAGGGTCAACTTTGGGTGTAGAAGCCGCCTGTGAGGGGTGGAGGAGAGATAGGGGGCTGGATCGAGGGGTTCGAGGTAGCCCAGGCAGGGAGGTGTGGGGGTGAGGTGGTGGAAGCATCAAGGACCCCCCCCCCCAATACTGGTTTTGCGAAACCCACTTCTCTCTAGGAACTGGACTCACTGCTGGCTGGGAAAACAGGCCAACACTGCCCCTATGTGGTGATTCCGAGCATTGCAAGCAAGGCCTCCTATAAGTAAGACTGTCCGAACCAGGAAGCTGGAGAATTCAAGAGCCAGGATTACCGAGTCTGCGGGAACTGGCCAAAGGATGGGTAACCCCTCCGCCGGAAGGGCAGTGAAACTAGGGTTCCAGCTCTCATCAGACTTTGCTGGGCCTTTCCTGGGAAACCCAGAATGTTTGGAGAGCCTATTAAGAACCACCTTCTCGGACAGACGGTCCTGGGAGGCTGGACGCTTCTGTAGGAAGGGGCATTGACAGGGGGTATGGAAGGTGGAATAGAAGTTTGCTAAGAAAAGAGAAAGATCTATTGCTGTGACAAAAAAGATGATAACTACGGGCTGTTTGCTGCTTGCAACTTCCATTCTTGTCTTGGATCTCAGGCTGTCCTTGCTGTGGCCTTCTGGGGCCCAGGGGACAAAGATTTCTTTATCTTTGTCTGATAAGAAAACCAGGACTCAGAGAAAAGGAACGACATATGGTGTACAGAGCCGTCTGTGTTGGTACCAGGTGGTGAATTGGCCCTACTATTTCTCTCCTCTGTGTTCTTGCACCCCAAGTTGGAATACCCTTCTCCCTCTCTAAGTACTTCTGACAGACTCCTGCTCATCCCTCAAAACCCAGATCAAATTCTGGGTCACTCACCGCAAACCTGAGAGTATGGGTCCTCAGCCCTTCCTTTCTCAGACCCAGGAGTCCAGGCCCTCAGCCCCTCCTCCCTCAGACCCAGGAGTCCAGGCCCCCAGCCCCTCCTCCCTCAGACCCAGGAGTCCAGGCCCCCAGCCCCTCCTCCCTCAGACCCAGGAGTCCAGGCCCCCTGCCCTCCTCCCTCAGACCCAGGAGTCCAGGCCCCCAGCCCCTCCTCCCTCAGACCCAGGAGCCCAGGCCCCCAGCCCCTCCTCCCTCAGACCCAGGAGCCCAGGCCCCCAGCCCCTCCTCCCTTAGACCCAGGAGTCCAGGCCCCCAGCCCCTCCTCCCTCAGACCCAGGAGTCCAGGCCCCCAGCCCCTCCTCCCTCAGACCCAGGAGTCCAGGCCCCCAGCCCCTCCTCCCCAGACCAGGAGTCCAGGCCCCCAGCCCCTCCTCCCTCAGACCAGGAGTCCAGGCCCCCAGCCCCTCCTCCCTCAGACCCAGGAGTCCAGGCTCCCAGCCCCTCCTCCCTCAGACCCAGGAGTCCAGGCCCCCAGCCCCTCCTCCCTCAGACCCAGGAGTCCAGGCCCCCTGCCCCTCCTCCCTCAGACCCAGGAGTCCAGGCCCCCTGCCCCTCCTTCCTCAGACCCAGGAGTCCAGGCCCCAGCCCCTCCTCCCTCAGACCCAGGAGTCCAGGCCCCAGCCCCTCCTCCCTCAGACCCAGGAGTCCGAGTCCCCAGCCCTCCTCCCTCAGACCCAGGAGTCCAGGCCCCAGCCCTTCTCCCTCCCACAGAGCCAGCCCAAGGTGGTGGGATGAAGCTGTTTGTGCTGATTCAGTCACATTTATTTGGTCTCAGAGGACAGAGTTATGGTGGGGGCAGAGGCATGGCTCTTGGATTAAGCTGTCCTGTTTCTTCTCATCGCTGAGCCTAAGAGAGGAGGAGAGACAGAGTCACAAAGAGAGTGGGAGAGGAGAGGCCAAGACAATAGCACGGGGACCAGACTGACGGAGATCCGGCCGCCACCTCGCCCTCTGCCAGCTCACCTTGTTGAAGAAGTAGATGGAGGCCAAGATGGTGAACACAGCAATGGCCAGTGTCACGTTCTGTGGGGAGGGCGTCAGAGGTCAGGACCCAGGCCCTCCCTCCCCTGCCCAGACCTCCCTTTTCGCACCCCACCCGATGGGTCCTCACTTCTTGAAAGTTCATGGCCATGGGTCCTCCGCTGTACAGTCGCTTCTCTACCCTCTGTTTTCTTGGGCCTCTGAGACAGAGAGGGGAGCTCGGCCACCAGAACCTCAGGGGGGTTGTCTAGGAGACCAGAATGGTGGCCATGGTGATGCAGAAGGGCATTCTGGGTAGAGGGGACATGGGGGCAGAGGCTTGGGAGACCTGGGGATGTGGGTGCGGAATGTCCTATGGAATCTCTGACCTTGGAATGAGGACATTTGAGACAAGAGAGCCCAGAGCCCCAACCCCACACTGAGGAGTTTGTTTCCCTTCACCGGAGGGTGCTGGGGAGCCATGGGAGGGCTGTGGGCAGGGAGGCACGGGGTCAGCTCTGGTGGCCGGACGGATCCGGGAGGAGCTGGGACAGGGCGCGCAGGAGAGGTGGCCCCGTGCTGTCTCCCCGGCAGTGTCTGAGGGTCACCGGGTTTGAGGGTGAGAGCGGCCATTATAACGATGGAAATCATGAGGGTGGCAGCAGCTTCTCCACCTCGGGGCCACAGGGACAGGGACGCATCTGTGGCTCCCACAGCCCACCGGCCATCCTGACTAGCGCGCTGCCAGCCCTCCTGTTACATTTTAAAAAATACATGTTTTATTGATTTTTAGAGAGAGAGGAAAGGAGAGAGAGATAAAAACATCGATGTGAGAGAGAAACATCTATCGGCTGCCTCCTGCACACCCCCCACTGGGGATCGAGCCCACAACCCAGGCATGTGCCCTCACCTGGGAATCAAACAAGGACCCCTCAGTCCACGGGACGACTCTCAGTCCACTGAGCCACACAGGAGGGGCTCCTGCTGCCTTTGTAGACGCTTAACTCTCTTCATGTTCATCATGGCTTTAGAACTGACCTCCAGGTTACTGGAAACACAGAGGAGAGAGAAACAAGGGCAGTCAACCCTCCTCACCCACGGAGCCCATCTTTGTGAATTCACCTACCCATTAAGAGTTATTTCTAACCCTCCGGTCGGTGTGGCTCAGTGGTTGAGCATCCACCCATGCACCAAGAGGTCACCAGTTCAATTCCCGGTCAGGGCACATGCCCAGGTTGTGGGCCAAATCCCCAGTGGGGGGCATGCAGGAGGTGGCTCACTGATGTTCTCTCATGGATGTTTCTATCTCCCTCTACCTCTCTCTCTAAAATAAATAAGTAAATAAACAAACAAATAAATAAATGAAGAAAAGTGTTCAATTGGAGAGTGCAATGCAGTTGCCCTGCTCAGAGCGGGCAGGAGGGGGCAGTGCCCCCGCTTAGCAAAGTGGGGAGCTGCTACCCCCCTGTCGGTGGTTGAATTGATGCCCCCAGAAAGATCTGTTCAAATGCTCACCCCGGGACCTGTGAATGTGACTTTATTTGGAAATAGGGTCTTTGCAGATCAACCAAGTTAAAACAAGGTCATAACTGGCGTCCTTGTAAGGAGAGCCACAGACAGACATGGAGACCCCCACGTGGTGACAGAGACAGAGACCAGAGTCACTCTACAGGTTCAGGTCCGGCAAGGATTGGCAGCAATGCCTGACGCCAGGGACAGGCCTGCGACCAACCCTACCTGGCAGCCCTCAGGGGGAACCAACTCTGCTTACACGTTTTTTTTTTTTTCATTTATCTTCAGACAGAGCAGGCGGGAGAGAGGGGGAGAGAGAGAGAGAGAGGGAGAGGGAGAGGGAGAGAGAGAGAGAGAGAGAGAGAGAGAGAGAGAGAGGGAGATGAGAGGGAGAGAGAGAGAGATGAGAGAGACACATCAACTGGTTGTCACCCATATAACCCCAACCAGGGCCGGGGACAAACTGCAACCAAGGTTCGTGCCCTTCGTGGGAACAGAACCCAGGACTCTCTGGTCCACGGGCCGACACTAACCGCTGAGCCAAACTGGCCAGGGCTCTACACTTTGATTTGGGATGTTTGGCCTCTAGAACTGAGAGAACACATTTCTGGGGTCTAAGCTGCCCGGTTTGTGGACATTTCTTACGGCAGCCCTGGCAAACTAATTCATACACAAGTCCAGGGAGTCAAGGGCGGGAGAGAGATCTGTGTGGCCCAAGCCTCAAGAGACAGGGGCCGAGACAGCCAGCACTGCATGTCCCTAAATGGCAGGTCCCAGGCAGAATACAGTGGGCAGGGGTCAGGAGAGTCCTGCCTGGGGGGCAGAAAGTGGCTGGGAGGGGTGGGTGGGCCTGGGGGGAGAACCCAGCCGGTTTCCTGTATTTCCCTCGGTGGGGGGCTGAATCATGTCCCTAAAATGCCCACTGATCCCACAGCCTGTGAATATGTTTCCTCATCTGGAGAAAGGGACTTTGCAGAGGCGATTCTGTTAAGCATCTTGAGATGTGGTCTGTCTTTTTAATTTTTTTTTCCCCTGTGTTGATTTTAGAGAGGGAGAGAGAGACAGAAACATCGATTGGCTGTCTCCTGCATGCCCCCCACAGGGGATCAGGCCTACAACCTGGGCATGTGTCCTGACCCAGAATCGAACCAGCAACCTCCTGGTGCATGGGTCGATGCTCAACCACTCAGCCACACTGGCTGGACATATCTTCTTTTTTATTTTTAATCCTCACCTAAGGATTTCCACTGATTTTTAGAGTCGGGGAGGGGGAGAGAAACACTGATGTGAGAGAGGCACATTGATTGGTTGCCTCCCGCATGCACCCTGACTGGGGTACGTAACCCAGGTATGTGCCCTTGACCGGGAATCAAACTCGTGGCCCTTGGGTGGGAGAACCGATGTTCTAACCACTGCACCACGCTGGCCAGGGCAGGGGCCTATCTTTCTTTATTCAGGCTGCTATAACAGAATACCATAGACTTGGGGCTTATAAACAACACACATTTATTTCTGCTAGTTCTGGAGGCTGGAAGTCCAAGTTCAAAGTGCTGGCTGATGAGGGGTCTGATGAGAGCCTGCTTTCTGGTCCACGGACGGCTAGCCTCTCGCTTTGTCCTCACGCGGTGGAAGGCGTGAGGGAGCCCTGTGCGGTCTCCTTCCTGAGGGCACTGATCCCATTCAGGAGGGCTCCACCCTCATCACCGAACCCCTTCCCAAAGGCCCCACCTCCTCACACTATCACCTTGTGGGGGGTGGTTAGGATGTCAACATGTGCATCTTTTTTTTTGTTGTTCAGATAGAATGGGAGGGAGAGAGAGAGAGAGAGAAACATCGATGTGAAAGGGACACATCGAGTGGCTGCCACCCGCACGACCAACCAGGGCCGGGGACAAACTGCAACCGAGGTACGTGCCCTTAGCGGGAACCGAACCCGGGTCTCTCCGGACCGCAGGCCGACACTCTAACCGCTGAGCCAAACCGGCCAGGGCAACATGTGCACCTTGAGGAGACACAGGAAGTGGGCTGACGAGGCATCTTTATGTATTTAAAAAGTTGACGAAGGAGCTAGCCTTCAGGATGTCACAGTGACCCCCACCGGGAGTTCAGCCCCATGTAATGACCCCGCTTCTGCCCTCATTGAATAGGACCTGCCTGTGCAAATGATAGATGAAGGCAAAATGGTGAGGACGACTTCTGAGGCTGAAGAGACATTGCAGTCTCTTGAGTCATCAGTCTGGGAGAAGCTGAGAAGCTGGCCATGTTGTGAGGAAGCTCGAGAAGGCCCGTGGAGAGGCCCATGTGGTGAGGAGCTGAGGCCTCCCACCAACAGCCATGCCACTGAGCTTCTAAGCGGCTCTTCCAGCCTCGGTCAAGTTTCCAAGGACTGCAGCCCTGGCCAACAGCTTGACTGCAACCTCTTGAGAGACCCCGAGCTAGAATCACCAGCTAAGCCACTCCCAGACTCCCGGCCCACAAACACTGAAAGAAAATAAATGGCTATTGTCTTGAGCCACTAAATTGTAGGGTCACTTGTTACAAAGCAATAACTAACGTTATTTAGTAGCTACTGCACACGACCCTGTTCTAACGTGCTGAAGGTATTGGAACACGTTGACTCCTCAAAGCAACTTTCAGAGGAACATTATGCTCTTTCTCAGTTTATGGATGAGGAAACAAAGGCACAGAGAGGCGTAGTAACTTGCCCAAAGTCACACAGCTTGCAAATGGTGAAATTAGGGTTTGTATCCAGCCTGTCCAACTCTAGGGTGGCTTTGGCCAGCTGATTCTTCACCAGAAAAAGGAAATCTCCATGAAGCCCAAGAGATCCTCAAAGAGCCCAAACATTTAAGGGGTGAAAAAAGAACAGACTGGGGTGCAGGGCCTGAGAGGAGAGCAGAGACCATGAGCCTGGAATGTGGGGTGGGGGTGGAGGTTTCCTTGCCTCTGTGCCCAGGTTATGCACACCTGGGTTCAAATCCCACCTTTGTCTGCCACTCACCAGCCGTGTTCCCTCAGTCAAACCCCTTAGCCCTTCCATGCCTCAGTTTCCCCATGTGCACAGTGGAGATGGTGATAGCCGTGTCAGCACTTCCTGGGGCTGTGGCGCAGATGAAATGGGCTAGTCCACGGGTTAATGAGGCTGGCGAAGGTCCCAGGGCAGCCGGCTCCCAGGAGGCATGCCGTGACCTGCTCTGGGGGGGTGCTGGGGGAGGTAATAGGCAGGTGGGGCTGTGGCAGAGACAGCGGCGGGCTGAGCTCAGCGTCTGGCTGCGTGGACATGGCCGGCCCAGGGTTTCGGGGCCACCCCGCCGGACCTCTCTTGCTCCTGCTGCTCCTGCCCCAGGCCCTGCCGGAAGGACCGCTGGTGTTCGTGGCTGTGGTGAGGTGCCCCGACCCCGGCCTGGGCCCTCGCCTCCCCCAGGCCGGCCCTGACCTGGTCCCCTCCCCAGGTGTTCCGCCATGGTGACCGGGCCCCGCTGGCCTCTTACCCCACTGACCCGCACAAGGAGGCAGTTCCTACCCTGTGGCCGAGAGGCCTGGGCCAGCTGACCTCGGTGAGAAGCTAGGGGTGGGCGCGAGGGGTGGGGCTGGGCAGGGAGGGGTCTGCTGAGCCTGCTCTGTCCCCAGGAGGGGGTCCGCCAGCAGCTGGAACTGGGCCGCTTCCTGAGGAGTCGCTATGAGGCCTTTCTGAGCCCGGAGTACCGGCGGGAAGAGGTACTGCCATGTTGACCTTCATCTGGCCTCCTGACCTTCCACCTCTGACCCCTACTGACTCCAATGCTCTGTTTGGGCCTCCACCTCTGGCCTTTGGTCCCCATCAACCTGATCTGCACTCTGTGTGATCTCTGAGCCCGAATCATGGACTAACCCACCTGACCTCTGACCCCATCCCAATCGGAATCACACCTTGACCTCTGACCTCTGACCTCCATCAATTCTGGCTTTATTTTCCGGCCTTCACCTCTGTCTTCTCACTTTCACTGACACCAAGCAGATCCTCTGACCTCTACCCTCTTCCTCCAAAACTTGATCAGTTCTGTCCTCGACCTTCATTGAGTCAACTTGCCCTTCTAATTCCAACATTTGACCTCTACCTTCGTCAAATCTGAACTTTCTTCTTCTATCTCCTCTACTGTCTTCTGACACCCCCCAGTTAGGGCCATTCCTCCTGACCTCTGACCTGTGACCCCTGATAGACAGGAACTGAACTCTGACCCATGTCCTCCATCCCGCTCTCCTAACCTTGGCCCCAGCCCCAGCCAGCATCCATTCTGATCTTCCTTTTCTACTTTCATGGGCTGAACTGACCCTCTCAATCCTACAAGCTCACCCGCCTTCTGACCTCCAACTGCTCCTGCCACTGACCTCTGACCCTTGATCCCAACTTCCAACCTCGAAGCTCAGACACTCAAATCTGCCCTGATAGTTTGACTCCTGACACCTGACCTTCGAGTCCAAGGTGAATGCAAAGCTTTGGCTTTGCCACTGCAGCCGACCTCTGACCGTGACCGTGGTCCCCATGTGACTGTCGCCCCTTCGCCTGCCCTCTCCCGCCCCAGGTGTACGTTCGCAGCACAGACTTTGACCGGACACTGGAGAGCGCTCAGGCCAACCTGGCCGGGCTGTTCCCCGAGGCTGCCCCGGGGCGCCCCGAGACCGCCTGGAGGCCCATCCCTGTGCACACCGTGCCCGTCACTGAGGACAAGGTCAGGGGACTGGACAGGGTCGGGGTGGGCGGGAGCACAGAAAAGGCAGAGAGCCCGAGGAGATGGCCAGAGGCTCGGCGAGGAGGAGCCAAGCTTGTTAGGGTGGCTCCCGGGAGCCTGAGTCCCCTGGGGCCCAGTTGTCCTGATGGGTTGAGCCATGGTTCCCAAGCCATGTGGACGGGCCCAAGAGAGACAGGGCCACACAGCCCCGACCCCTCCCTGAGCCACGCGGCTGTCCTCGCTGAGCCTCAGTTTCCCCTAGCTGCTGAGGTTCCCCATGCGCAGCTGTCCCCGGTACCGTGAGCTGCTGCACGAGACCACCGAGGCCGTGGAGTACCAGACAGCGCTGGAGGGCTGGGCGGTGAGCGGCGGCGGGCCGGGCGGGGGCGGCGGGGGAGGGCTGTGGCCTCACCGGGCCCTGTCCATGCAGGACTTCCTGATGTACCTGGAGAACTGCACGGGGCTGTCGCTGGTCGGGGAGCCGCTCCGCAGGGCCTGGAAGGTTCTAGACACACTGATGTGCCAGGTGAGCCCCTGCCTCCCCCCCAGCCAAGTGGTTCAGGGCACCTGGGTTCAAATCCCAGCTCCTTAGTGCCTTGGTTCCCCCATGTGCGCAGTTGGTGCCCGTGTGAACACCACCGGGGTTGCTCTGAGGATCGAAGTGGGTTAATCCACACAGTGCGCTGAGAGGGTTCCAGGCTGCACGTCTGCAGTCCCTCCTCTGTGGTTCTAAAAAGTGCCCCAACCCAAACCTGGCAACAGGGCCGACCGGCGCGATGCCTGGCACCCCCCACCCCCCGTGGGACCGTCTCTGATGGCAACGTGTGTGATCCAGGGCGGCCCCAGACCCTGCTGGCATTGGCACCATCCCAGGGTCTGAATCCTGAAGCGCCGCTGGCCCCAAGGGTCTCGCTGGAGGGCTTCTGGTCTGTGGAAGGACAGCCATTACTATTGATAGTTGTTACTGCCGAGCCTCAGCTTCCCGACCAGCCCCAGCCCGCAGGGGTTCCGGTGGGGATGGGGTGGAGAAAGGATGGAAGGTACTGCGGACAAGCACAGATATTGGGAAGGTGGGAGGGGACCGTGAAGAGCTCAGGACACCCCGGTCACGTTGTCCTCTCTCCCTGTCTCTCCCCAGCAAGCCCATGGTCTCCCCCTCCCATCCTGGGCCTCCCCGGATGTCCTGCGGACGCTAGCCCAGATGTCGGCTTTGGATATTGGGGCCCATGTGGGTCCACCCCGGGCGGCAGAGAAGGCCCAGCTGACAGGGGGTGAGGTGTGGGGTGGGGCAGCTGGGAGGCTGGGGCACCTGCCTCTGGAGGTTCTCAGCACCCCGTTCTTACACCCTCAGGGATCCTGCTGGAGGCCATTCTCGCTAACTTCTCCCGGGTCCAGCGCCTGGGGCTGCCCCTCAAGATGGTCATGTACTCGGCTGTGAGTCTTTGGGAAGGGAGGCAGCAAGTGCCCCGTGGGGGCCGGGACGAGGGGGATGGCAGTTTGGCTGAGGAAGAGCCGGGGGTCTGGATGGAGCCTCAGCCCACTGCCTTGGGTAACTCGTAGCTGCAGATGTATCACTAGAGGTGTAGTGTCTGGAAGGAGGGAGGAGACGGAGTTCTGAGAGAAAGAATGGCGCTCTTCTAGGACAGGCGGTTTATTGAGCTGTTGTGCATCCGTCTGCACATCTTTGATTGCCTGTAACTGTGGGCCTGCCTCTAGGGTGGGCAGATTTGGGGGGTGGGCTTCTAAGGGGTCTGGGGACATCTGGGAGGCAGCTGGGTGCGGGAGTCTAGAGCGCAGGGAAAGAGGACCTGGGGCGAGGAGCCGGCCCATCCTGATCTGCCGCAGCACGACAGCACCCTGCTGGCCCTCCAGGGGGCCCTGGGCCTCTATGATGGGCACACCCCGCCCTACGCTGCCTGCCTGGGCTTCGAGTTCCGGAGGCACCTCGGGGACCTGGACCCGGACGAAGATGCAGGGTGAGGAGGGAGGCGCCTGGGAATGGGTGGGGCGGAGCCCTCAGGAGGAAGGACGGGTGGCAGGCAGGGAACACAGCCTTGGCACCGGCCTGGAGAGGGAATTGGCCAGGGACGCCATCAGGAGGTGGACAGGTAGGAGTCAGGAGCTCGGTTCCTCCATCTAGATGCTCTTCTCTGGGTTTGAGGGCAGTGGTGGGGAGGTGGGAGGGGCCTGGGTGCCACCGCCTCCTCTCTCCCTGCAGGAATGTCACCATCTCCCTCTTCTACCGAAACAACTCTGCTGGCCTGCCCCTGAGCCTCGGCCTCCCCGGGTGCCCATCCCCCTGCCCGCTAGGCCACTTCCGACAGCTGACGGCGGCAGCCCGGCCTCCGGCTCTCGGGGTCCCCTGCCGCGGCTCCCGCGAGCCGGCCACCCCCACGGGTGAGGCCCTCAGCGTTGGGCTGGGCGTGGGCGGGGTGAAGTCCCAGCCTCACCTCTCCTGTCCTCCCTGCAGCCGCCGTGGTGCCCCTGCTGGCTGGGGCCGTGGCCGTGCTGGCGGCGCTCAGCCTAGGGCTGGGCCTGCTGGCCTGGAGACCCGGCTGCCTGCGGGCCTGGGGAGACCCCGTGTGAGCCTCGGAACTGGGCACCCCTTCCCACTGCTGACCCCGAATCCCAACATGTGTGCTCACCCGCTGCGCTGGTCTCCGTGACTTACTGTGCGCCTGTGCCCGGGGGGACTCGGAGGCTCCTGGGCCTGGAAGCCACGAGCAGTAGTGTGGGAGTGCGCACGAGTGTGCATCCGTGTGCACAGGCATGTACATGTACGGGGCCTGTGCACATACTTGTGGTTTGCGTGTAGATGTTGGTTTGAATGTTTCTGCACTCATGTGCGTGCAGCTGTCTGCATGTGTCGGTGCATTTATGCGTGACAGGTCCCTGTGCACACACGTGCAAGCCTGTGTTGGTACGTGTGTATGTGCCTTTGTGGGCATGTTTCCCTACAGGCACGATGGCATGTGAGCACACGTGGGAATGTTCCTTGTAGGTCCGGCACATGTGGTGAGCACACGCGATGCTGTGCATGTGTAACAAGGCTGAGCCTTCTCGGCCAGCCTGCTGGCCCAGTGCCCTGGAGATGGCACCACGAGGCCTCTGCTCCAGGGTTGGAGGTCAGGCCTGTCCCAAGGCTGGTCAGCACTGAACCTGAGGCTGTTACCCTGGGCAAGTGACTGGCCCTCTGTGCCCACATCCCATTTGGCAGAGCCAAGGCTCCCAACTCATCAGACCTCACGGCCTCTGAATCTAACCTCCAGGGACCAGCAGAGCAGGTGCAGCTGGGACCGTCCTCAGGGCCGCCACATGGCCATTTCAGTGAAATGTCAGACTTCAGGTCCCAGCCACACTGGTCAATTTCAGTTGCTCATCGGCCACACGTGGCTGGTGTGCTGGGCAGTGCATAACGCTCCCGGAAGGCCGAGAGGAAGCCAGCAGGCCCCGTGCAGCCCAGCCCTGTGCTCCCGCGTCAACCCCTCCCACCACGGGCTGGTACCAGGCTGTCTGGTGAGGTTTCCCTCTGCTGTGGCCTTACTCCACGTGCGGTACCATCGGGCAAATGTGTGAACACCCCAGATTGGAACACTGGGGCTAGTGTTGGTGCGTACACACCCGGTGCCCATTACAAGTGGTAGAGTCGGATGGTCAGAGGTGGGGAGGGCGGTGGTTGGGCGCCACTCCCAGCTACCAGGACCCCCTGGACTGTGAGGAAGAGGCCGGGGCCTACCCACTGCCCAGCATTGTGGGCAGATCATGCCCTGGGCTCTGAACATAGCCTTGTCAGGAGCACTCATCCCTGGGGAGCCCCCAGACACCCCACCATCCCACCCATCATTGCCCCTGGAGGTCACGGGCCTTAGAAGTGAAAGGCAGCCACAGCCCAGAAGGCCCTCTGCGCTTCTTGGTCCTGGGAAGACCCAACTGAGTTCTCTGAGGTTCCCTGCCCTGCTGAGCTGGGGCCCACGGCTGCTGGGCGGGCCTCCTGCCACGTCCAGACCCCTCCACCCGCCCCTCAAGGGTTCTGGATTTGGCTTCACACGGGGCCTCACCCACCACAGTCCACATGCGGTGATGTGCTACTTCAACCCCTACCGCCCCCTCGCTCCCAGTGGGGCTCTTGGCCCCAACATCCTCACCCAGACACTGGCCAGAGACCACCCCCGTGAGCAAACAGCAAGTCAGCTTTCAACGGGAAAGGCATCACAAAATCAAGAGAAAATCACGACAAAAAGAGCATCCTTAAGACCAAAGTGCTGTATATGCTTAAAGTATTAAATAACAATGATGAAAGAAAATAATAAAAACGGCATACACCTCATGCCGTGGGCCGTCCCCACTGGGCCTGTAGTGCTCTGGGGGCCCAGGGGGCAGAGGGGTGTTCACCCACTCTGCCATTTGGGCTGAAATGTGAGGCCTGCCAGGGTGTCTATGGAGCCACTGCGTGCCCGGTCAGCTTGCTCCCCTCCACCAGCTCTGGCCAATGATACCCATGGGGTGTCTAGGGGCAAGGACACCTTCTTCTTCTGGGCTCCTCAAAAACTATGCGGGGGTGGCCTGCCCACAGGATTGAGAGCAGGTGGGTATCCCTCCATCCATCCCGAACCGCTCAGGGGGCTTCGCGCTTCCCCCCAAGGTCCCAGCTCCCCTGGAAGCTGCGGGCTCCCGGGCTCCTAGGCTCCTAGCCAGGGCGCACAGGCGGCTCCTCCCCGCAGGCTTGGTCAGAGTACGGGGGCGGCGGGGGCTGCTCCTCCCCCAGTGCGCAGGCCGGGTGGTTGCGGCTGCGCGTGGCCTCTTTGACATAGAGCTCCAGGAGGACCTTGGTGGGCTGCTTGTCCACCTTCTCCTTGGGCACGCCATGGCTCAGGAGCCAGCCCAGGAGGTCCTTGCGAGTCGGGTTGGGCCCCAGCATGAAGCTGGCGCGGCCCGGCTGCCTGTGGCGCCAGAGCAGGCCGGAGTCTGCGATGGTCTGGATCTCCAGCACCGCCTCCAGCACCGTCATGCCCCTGACCAGCAGGCTGACCAGCGAGAACCGCAGCTCGGAGGGCGCAGCCGTCAGCAGGCGCCGCTGCAGGCCCTGTGTTAAGGGCACGTCCTCAGGTGCGGGCCATGGCGCCTGCTCGGATTCGGGGGGCGAGGTGGGCTCCCGGTAAATCCAGTCCAGCATGCCCAGCTCGCGCACCAGCTGGATGCCCTCCTCCACAGCGGTCCAGGGCCGGAAGGGCAGCTCGGTGGCCTCGAAGTGCACGAAGGACTCCCAGCGCTGGCGCCAGGCCTGCAGCAGCCAGGCGAGCAGCGTCTTGCAGCTGCCCCGCAGGCCCTTGCAGCGGTAGTTGAAGACGGCGTCGCGGGTCAGGTCGCCCAGCAGTGCCAGCTCCCGGGAATTCAGGGCCAGGGCTGAGCCGCCCTGGTCATACACCCTCAGGATCCAGGTGACCATGAGCTCGCCGGGGTTCTGCCTGAAGCGCCTTGAGATGGCCAGGAGCTCAGTGTACGTGTAGTAGCGCCCCCCCAGTGCCATCTGCGTAGGCGCCAGCGTGCTCTCAGCCATGGTCCCGCCGCCCTACAGGGGAGCAGCAGGGTGCCCAAAGAGCTGCGGACAGGGACACAGAGGTGTCAGGTAGGGGAAACAGTTACAGCCCCCCTGGGCTGGTGCATGGAGCTGGGGCCCCTCAGACCCCTGGGTGTCAAAGGTCCCAGGGGGCACAGTGTCCTCATGGGAGGTCGGAGCCCAGTGCTGGACATCATAGGGGCCCCCAAGCACAGCCTGACACAGAATGTCCCCCTGCAATGCCCCCAGCCCCTCCTTTACAAATCTCCCCTCCCCCGCTCCATAGAGTGACTGAAGATTTAACGATCGAGTGCTTAGAAGCATGCCTGGCTCAGCTTAGCTGCTCGGCACTGGCCTCGACACTGTCAGCATCGTCTCCACACTGTAAGTATAAACGGGGTGCTTCTGTTCTTACCGAGGGAGGGCCCGGCCCTTCAGCTCCTACAGGGACCACCTGCAGAAGGGGGAGGGGAGATCAGTAGGGTGCAGGGCACCATGCCCCCCATCCACCCTTCCCCAGAGCTGGGGCCCCTCAGACCCCTGGGTGTCAAAGGTCCCAGAGGGCACTGTGTCCTCAGGGGAGGTCAGAGCCCAGTGCTGGACATCATGGGGGCCCCAAGCAGCCCCCCTCCCAGCATATTTCTAATCTAATCCCAACTGCTCCGGCATGGACCTCCTTACACCCCCCCCCCACACCCCATGCCTGTACTGTGGAGGCCATAGAACTCAGGTGTGCAAGAATTTCAGGGGTTGCAGGGCCGAGTGTTAATGATCCCAGCCTGCCACCTCCCTGGGGACCCTCAGCACCATCAGCGGGGCACCCACTCTGGAGTCTCCACCTCAGCCAGGCAGACAGGTCACAAAGGACCACTCAGGTCAACGTGGCAGAGTAAGGATCAAAACCAACCTCCTTGGTTCTGCAGCCCTAGCTTCAGGGAAGAGGGGAACAGAGAGCACCCCAATGTGCAGAGATTACAGGAACGAGCCCCCTCCATAAGGAGAGGGGTGTGGGGAAACCAGAGCCTCTTTGTGCTCGCAGGTCCTCAGCTGCGGCCCAGGGACAAACCGCCCAGCTCACAGGGTTACTGAGGACTGAACCGACTGGCGCTCGGCACTGTCTGGCTCAGAGCGGGCGCTCAGCAGCTCTCTCTCATGATCAGTCACCACCATCTATAAATCTTATTCACTGGACCCTTTTAACATTAGAAACGTAACATGATGATTACGGTGTCAATGAGAGGGTGCCTCTTCTGTTCTTACCAAAAGGGGTGGTGGAGCTGTTGACTCCTGGACGAACCATCTGCAGACAGGAAGGAGTGGGGGAGGGGAAGAGGTCAGTGGGGCACAGGGCAACCACAGTCCCCCATGCACCCCTCCCCAGAGCCAAGGCCCCTCAGATCCCTGGGTGTCAAAGGTCCCAGGGGCACTGTGTCCTCAGGGGAGGTCAGAGCCCAGTGCTGGACATCATGGGGGCCCCATTGCCCTAGTCGCCCTTGTCATCCAGGTCCCAGAGCCACTTGCCTACAGCTCTAAGGGGATGACACAGACAAGAGCTCAAAGATCCAGACAGGAAAAACGACCAATATCTGGTCCCCAAGGTGCCAAGAAGAGGTAACCCCCACCACCCTCCTGATACCATACCTCCCACTGCCACCTCTCGGTGGCTTATCCCTGGGTGCCACTTCTTGTAGGACCTGCAGCAGCTGACCCAGCCCCACCGCTGAAAATGGGAATAGATTCACCTTGCAGACAGGCCACGGAATCCAGTGTGATGAAGGGGCGCCCCTTTGGCTGGCTCCAAGGCGGGCCAGATAAGCACACCCCTGCACCCGCTCTGCTTGTACTCAGGCCCGCTCTCCAAGCCCCAGCTCTGGTGAGCCCTGCATCGCTATTCCTTGCTCTGTAACCCAGGGAAGCAGCTGCACCAGAACCTTCTGAGAAACAGGGAAAGGTTACATGCCTGTTATCAGGACCCGAGGAGGATCTGGCGAATTAATCCTCAAAAGTACTTAAAACACGCCCTGGCTGGTTTTGCTCAGTGGTTAGAGCGTCAGCCTGAGGTCCAGAGACCCGGGTTCGGTTCCTGCTAAGGGCACGTACCTCAGTTGCAGTTTGTCCCTGGCCCTGGTTGGGTCGTGCGGGAGGCAGCCACTCGATGTGTCCCTTTCACATCAATGTTTCTCTCTCTCTCTCCCTTCCACTCTATCTGAACAAAAAATGGGAAAATGTCCTCAGGTGAGGATTTAAAAAAAAAAAAAAAAAAAGTACTTAAAACACAGCACATGCTCCCTAGTGTGAGCTACTATTTAGCAAGCAAAAATGCTTGCATCAAGGTTTTGTGCAGAAATACGCTGTCCAGAAGACAGAGACACTATTTAAATTTACATAAAACGTAAAAACCTAGCTCCCGGTTGCACCAGGCGCGTTTCAGGTACTCAAGATCACACACGGCCAGTGGCTATGGGACCGGACAACACAGAATAGAGCAGTTCTGTCTGACCAGGCTGCCTTAGAAATCAAGACATGTTCCATGACCCTCAGATCTTCCCAGGCCAGCTGTGGACCTTCTGCCTTCTTCTCCCCCCACCCTCCCCGCACCAGCTGGCACATCCTGTCCTCCACTTTCCCAGAAATTTCCTCTGGGAGGGTAATGATCCTGCAGAGAACACCTAAGGCGGGGAGCACCAGCCCTTCAGAAAGACAATTATATGATCTGGAACCTGAGCTCACCACAGTCTCCTCCCTAAAAGGTCAGCAAGAGTGGGAACCCGAACATACTTTCTGTCCTATTTCACCACAGCCAGTGATCCCTCCTGCTCCTGACATCCAGGGAACAGAGGCAAAACTCCCCTAGAGGGAGAACTTGCATCTCTTTGGATAACATGTATCTAGGCCTATTTTATGATCTAGGTCTTTGAAACACTTGTGAAACATTTGCCAGATACATCGTGTCACTTGAACAATGGCTGCTGTGTCAGTGAAGGGTAGCTGTAGAAACTGTATCAGTTTATGTGCACATTCCTGGGAAGGCAGCTCAATGGCTGATACACTGTATCGAGTCTAGACACAGCAGTGACTGTTAATGCTGGGAGCCATTCTGTTTCTTTTCTTCTGCTAAGTTTGAAAATTGGACTTCTGATTAGTCCCTCCTCTCAAACCCGAATACATGTATATTTCTTCCTTTCACAGCCTGTTCTTTCCTTTGAAGGCAGGATACATCGTGCCTCCTCACCCCAACAGTGAGAGGACAGACTTACCTACTCTTGACATGTGTCCGCTTCTACAAACACAGAAACTGAGGCGCAGGAGTCCAGTCACCTGACACCTCAAATCCACCAAAAGCAGAAGCTGGGATTTGTATGTCAATACTGGGCATGACTGTTAGCATATAAATTAGGTCCTAGGGATATCTGACGTGAAGTCACCCAAAACACAGGTGATTTTAGACCTGGGTGGGTCAGGGGGTGAGGGCAAGAGTTCTTACCAAGACGGGGTGGTGGCGGGTGGCCCCTCAGCTTGAAGAGACACCTGTAACACAGGAAAGACTTGGTAAGGGTAGGCAAAGAAACACTGGGTATCTAAAAAACATCAACACTAGGGCTCCTCAGACCCTCAAGAGTCAAAAGTCATGGGGGGCACTGTGTCCTCAGGGGTGATCAGAGCCCAGTGCTGAACATCATGGGAGCCCCAATCCCTCTGCAACCAGGCCCTGAGGCCACTCACCTTCAGGGACAGAGACCATGGTAACAGCAGTTAGAGATTGGGAAACATTAAGGGCGACAATGGCATTGTCATTAAGTACAAAATGTTATTTCGGGAACGCAAGTGGTAACTATTTTGGATGAAATAAAAAATTTACTTTCTGGGGCCTTGGCCTCGCTCAGCAGAAAGGAAACCCATATCTAAGACCATAAGGACCAATTAGCCCAGAACTAATGTTTAACTACTTGGGGTGGCTGTGTTAAAGTGGTTCCTGAAGGTGAACAAAGTCATTTGTTTTCTCTTGTTACCAGAAAAGGGACCTAATCCTGAGTGGGTCTACCTAGGGCCAGACTGGTAGTGTGTGGGTTCCTGACTCCATGCAGAAAAAGTTTCACAACACGAGTCCCAGTGAAAAGGGGGCCCTGGGGACAGGTTCAGGGGGTTTGCCTGAGGTGAACTGCCACTGCCCATTGCTGCCCTCCTTGCAAGCCTCCTGGGGTCCCTTGGAGTTTAGAAGATGCATGTCTGTGGGGAAAGAAAAGGAAAGGGTGGGCACCGGCCTCCTGGGAACAGAAGAGCTGGAACTTGAGGCTTTTATGTCTCTTGCAGGTGGGAATCTTAGGGAAGGGTTTCAACAGAATATTCCTTAATTTTCTAGGTATGCTCTTTGAGGGTCATGGTCTTCATTGACTGGTCAGTGTCAGGGAAGGGGGTTATCAGTCATTACAGCCGGTCCTGGTGTCACCAGCCTGGTCTTGCTGCTCTTCTGGATCTGGAGCTGAAATACAGCTGATGCCTAGAGGTTTCTAGGGAGGTGACCTTCTGTATCCGCTGTAAACTGCTCTATCACTTTGTTCAGCTGCCTCAGTTTCCCCATCCCACCTGTCCTGGCTTACTGGTCTGTCTCCTTAACACCATTCCTACCTGCTTCTCTGAAACAAACCAGTAATTCACTTAGAGACCCCATTCCCCTTTTTTCTTTGTCACTTCTGGGATCCTACTTCCCTGTCTTTGTTCCAGGTTGCAAAAAAAAAAAAATGCCGGCCACCTGGGATTAGAAAAAACGAGAGCGCTGCCCCAAGGAAAACACCTGTGGAAAACCTCAGAAGAACTCCAGGTCACACGCGCCCCCCGGCCCCCAAGAAAGACGGACAAGATGGCGCAGGCCTGCAACGTGGGCCGCAGAGATGGCGCAGCCAACCTGCGCTGCAGACGAAGCGGGGGCGCCAAGTGCCCCCCCACAGCGAGCGCCCCCAAAGAGCCACCACCGTCTCCTGATGCCCTCGTCCACCCAGCGGGGAACCCCCGGGCTCGCCTCTGAACGCGCTCGGGGCCACGACAAAGGCCGTGACCCCAACCCCGCGACGACGTGACCATCCCGCCGCAGCCCTGGGCACCTCCTGACACGCGAGGCCCAGATCCCAAAGCCCCCCGCGCAGGCAGAAAGAAGCCAAAACCTCAGAAGAAACTCACCCAACTCTTACTTCCGCCATAAACGTGCGCGGGCTGCCACGCGTCCCGCTTTATACTGCGCGCCGCTCGCGAGGTCCGCCCCGCGCCAGCCTGGGCTCCGCCCCGAGGCGTCTAGTTTACGCGCCGGTGCCGGAAACCCCACTTTGGTGCGTGGGGAAGGGACAGGTCCTGTTCCCATTAGAATCTTCTGGAACGGGACATAAGACTTCGTCCCTGGGGGCGGAGAATAAGAAGCAAGGAAATATCGCTGCCTGTTGTCCTGTCGTGGTCGTCAGGCAACTCTGTGGATGGCCTCAAGGGAGGGGCGTAAAGGGGAAGGACCCCGAGTGGGGGCGGGGCCAGAAGGGGAAGCAACTGGCATTGCCAGCGCGACAGCTGTGGCTGAAGGGGCGGGGCCGACCCAGATGAAGTCCCAGCCGCAGAGTGGGAGGCGGGTCCAGAGCTGAGATTGACAGAGGGCAGTTCTGAGAAAGCGCGCGAGTGGCGCAGAATGAGAGGCTGAGCCTGGGCACCCCGATCCGAGGCTTGGACTCTGGTTCGGACGGAGAAGGGGCTGGAGTCGTAGTCTCTCCGGTCTGAGAGAGGAGGGGCTGGGGACAGGACTCGGGGGCCCAGGCTGGAAGGGTTTGGGGCTCGCTTCCCGGTGTTTACATCGTCGAAGACCTGGAGGCTTGGATTCTTGGTAGGGTTGGGGATCCAAGGCGTGTCTTTCCACAGACGTGATTGTAAAACATGTTTTCAAAGATAAAAAATGAAACTAACGTATACCAAACCCATGCACCGGAGGTTGCCACTGTCAACAATTTGGTGTGGACTCTTTATGGCAACACACACACAAACACACACACACACACACACACACACACACACACACACGTATTCCTTTGTGTGAATAGAACACATTTTGTTTAGCTGATTCCCCTCGTCAAAATTTGTTTTCTTCCTTCTAGTTGGGAGACGCCTTCCATGAAGTCTGTAGTCCGAAGGGAAAGGAAGGGATGCAAACTCTTTTAGCAAAACGAGGCATTTCCTACCCTGTCCTCACGCAGAGTTAAGCAAAATCCTCACCGTGGCCACAAGATGGGCAGCGATCTGGCCCCTGGCCCCTCTGCGCTCGTCTCCTTCCTCTCCCTCTCTTGCCCAGGCTGCACTAGCACATTGGTTTCCCTGGTCTTAGAATCTGCAAGGACATTTGTACCTCAGGACCTTTGCATTTGCTGTTCCACACGCTGCCTACAACTCTTTCTCTCAATCTAACCTCATTGCTCTCTTCCTCTCTTGAGCTGGGATTCTGCTCAGGTGTCACCTTAGCATAGAGCCCCACCCCTTTGCTCTATATAACAGACCCCCTTCTTCCCAGACTGGTTTCCCTTACACTTTCTCTGTCCCCTAATATACCTAACTGTTGGTGGTCATATTATTTTGCTTCCCAGGTGAAATGTCAGTTCCATAAAAACAAGGATTTGTGTCCAGTTTGATCACTGCCATGGATCCAGTGTCTGACACATAGTTACAGCTCAGTCTGTGTTAAAA